CATAAAGTTGATGAGTCTGTGTAGGGAGACTTTAGCTGAGACACCTAAGAGAGTTATTCAGCAGAGATGAGTTTTCCTTTGGTTGCAGCCAGTTCTTTTATTTGCCAAAGGCACCCTGGGGTTTGCTGCCTGTTGGGCTGATTTTGATTTAATTGCCCAGAATTATGGTGAAAACTCTGCCATCTGTGACACTGGAAAATACTCCAATTCAGCCTTGCTGGAAGGGCTTAATCTCTAATGGACTCTTCACTGGGGCTGGCTCTTGAGTCCTGCAACTCCCAAGGCAGGTTCCTCACTCCTGCCTGTGGCATCAGGCATCCATGGAGGTGGTGCTCACAGGACTTGGAGCCAACTCCCCAATTCAGGTGTCCTTCAGTCCCATTTTGCACTACAGTATTGCCTACTGAAGAAAAGGAAAATACTTTCTTACTTAGAACACGTTCTATATATTCATCTTGGCCTGCTTTCTGGGGGAGCTGGGGTCCTCAGCCACCCGGAGCTATTTGTACAGTTGGATGAGGATAAAAGCAGTGACTTCGTTTAGTCCCAACCTAATCTGAGTTAATGTGCTGGGATCCCACTGGTGAAAAGCAAGGGCACTCGGCCACGGCCATTCCTTGATCCTTTAAGAGTCTGAATCTGCTAAGCATGCTTGTCTTACAACTGCACTCGCACAGCATGTCATCAGTTTTGTTCTCCATCTGTTAAATGAGAGGCTGCTGATTAACCACTGCAAACAGAAAGAATTACTCTTGTTCTTGCCAACAACTGCAAGGTTCAGCACTAGGTACTGAGCTCCTGGTGTTTTCCACACTCGGTTGTGATCACCTTGCTCTGTGTGCATTAAATGACGTGCCCTGCAGCTGGCAGGGATTGGCCTTTCAGTATTGCCCCTTAATTAAGGGAGTTGCCTAAGTGGAGATCTCACCATCTCCCAGGGTCCTGCAGCAGGGAGCAGCCTGTCACTGCTCAGAGCCTGGGGAGGGACACAGGTACCAGGAGGAGCAAAACTGGGCTTCAACAGCTTGGATAAGGGAAACACACAACCTGCACAATCCAGACCAAAAGTATTGCAGGACTTATTTTCAAGGAAATATTTTTATTTTATGAAGTGACTCCAAGTGAGTGTTGCTACAATGCCCTGTGTAGATTCCAAAGTGCAGAGCAGACATTACCTCCCAGAGCAAGGCTTACTTGCTTTGTCAGAGGCAGGGCTTCTGAATGTTTTTTATTTTTGATGATGCTAAATGGAAATACCTGTCAGAGGGATCTTGTGAGACTCGGCTGCCCTGGCAGGAAAGAAGCATTTCCTGAGCACATGCAGAGCTTGGTGATTCCTGCCATCCCTTTCCCAAGCACTGCCTTAGCTTTGGATTTACCATCTGATCTCCAGGCAGGTCATTGTACTCTGCTTCTAGTTACTTTAATAAGGAGCAGAGGAATTACTTAAAGAAATCTGTATAATACTTGGTTTGGAGTAGGAGTTCTTGTGGGATTTGTGTTTGGTTTTTTTGGTTTCTTCGTTTGTTTGTTCTTTTAAGGCTGGTTCTATGTTTCCAGAACCACATCTAATCAACTGTTAAAATGGTTTATCCTGGTGCTGGGCACATCCCAGCTTTCGTGTTTGCACAGCTAATGAAGAGAGACAGGTCTGATACAAGCAGCTGAAACTGCTTTGGAATATGGAATACTTATATCTATATATTTTAAATTTATCTGTTTAGCTGGCTGCAACTCATTACTCAACTTTGACTGAAAAGAGATGACAGGACTTCTTGCTGCATCCAGGTAGTCTCCACAACTAAAGCTACATCACATTATGTGCCCTTGTATCATACGATATTTCTGTTCTGAGAAGACTGTTTGCTTTTATTTTGCCACCAGATCACTTTTGTTCCCCCTAGGGTAGGGATTCTTCGTTTATGCAACAGCAATATCCTGCTTTAACAGGCAGCAGCTTGTTGGCTGGAGTGCTTGGGGCCCTGGGGGATCACTGGGCTCCCTATCTGCTACCCCTGGGTGATGTGCTTGCCCAGAGAACTGCATCCCAGCCCGCAGCCAGGAGGATGGTGAGGAGCACCTCTCATGTTCAGAGCTGGCTGTTTTGTTTGTGGTTTAAAGGAACAGTTTCCTGCAAACGTTGAGTCGTCTGGAGCAAGGGCTGGCAGGCCAGTTTAAAAGCTGTTGCACACTTGAGTAATAAGCTGCTTATTACTTCTGCATCACCTGGTAAGGGGGGGATGATCTTTGTAGGTATGATTTATCTCTTTTCCTTTTTAAAAATTATGAAGTCTTGTCTTTATAGACAGAAGGTGCACACCAGTTCAGATTGACTTTGCTTCTCTTGAACAAATTGCTGTACTTGGATAGGGAAGTAGATTTGGTTGGTTTGTTCCTCCCAGGATCCAATTTTCTCCTCCGGATACGATCACAGTGTTCCAGTGGCTGAGAGCATGGGATGCATTCGTGTCCCTTGCAGGAGGCCACTGGACTAAGGATGGTCAGGGCCTGCTGGAGATGGGGAAAGTGAGGACCTACATGGCAATGTGGGCAACCACAGGTGGTGGGGAACACTGGCCCTCCATGTCTGTGCTACTGGGCTGGTGCCTTCTCCAGGCTTTGCAGGGAGCTTGAGTTGCCCTTGGCCACTGAGATGGGGTTGTGGCTGACTGCCCGACTCCCTGTGTAACATCCCTGCAGTCCTAAGTGTTCCCAGCAAGCCTGGCACTTCCCCAGTCAATGAACAGAAAACCACTTGCAGGTCAATGTCTGAGGAGCCATTAGAGCAGTACCAAAGTAAAAGCAAAGTGAAGGTGCAGAATGGCCAGGCATTGATTTTGCTAATGTTAATGAGATCTGTTTGCTGCTGTGACTGAGGGGGAGGGAGATGCCTGTCCTGGCTGGATTTCCTGAGTGGATGGATGCCTTGGAGCCCTCCTGCTTCTCCTCACAGTGCATAGATCCATCTCATGGAACAGAAGAAATGTTTCCAATAAATAGTTTAAAAAAATAAGTCGTTCACTCATGCAGTTACCCTTTTGAAAGGCACAGTTTCTTTTTTTATAGATAAATAGCTATTTGTTCTGCAACCTGTTTCTTGTCCTCAGTGGCAAATGCAGGGTTGCTGCTTCTGCTGCCTGATGAACACAATCAAATCACACTATTTGCCATAGGTGTTTTTGTCAGGATGTGTTCGGTGGTGGATAGAAAATAACACTGCCTGAAACTTAGGAGTTGGGCTTAAGTGGCTTGTTGCTTTAATGAATTAAATTAACAAGTCTCTCAACACTTTAATTTCCTTTCTTTTATTTTTCTCCCCAGAAAATGGATGTTCCACCTGCTTATGCTGACCTGGGCAAATCTGCCAGAGATATTTTCAACAAGGGATATGGTAAATAAAGCCAAAAAAAGTTTGCTCTTTCATTGTCTACCTGATTCCTGAAACATACAGCTCTTTTCTGTTAAATTCCAATAATTTCCATTTGAATCCAGAGAATTTTCTATCACAGCTTCCCATTGCTCTTGCTGGCTGGAGAGGGAGGGTGACTTTTTTTTTTCCCCACAAAATTCTTCCTGTTCCCCATAGGACTCGTGGTCTGTTTTGAAAGATAATTGTGTGTTGTATTTTGACTGTTTTCTTCTCTCATGATAAGGATCACTGATGTCAGTACTTTGCTTAATGAACAAAATGCTACTCAGTAGGAATAAAGACATTATTTCCTAATTTGGTCCCAATTATATTGCCAAAGTCAGTGGGATTAATGAGTCAAGTGCTGTCTGGAGTGAGTAGGAGCTGTGAAATCTGCTTCATCAAAACATACAGCTTGATAACTGTGGGTTTGGTTTATTGTTATAATTTTTGGCATGTTTGGTTTATTGTTTTAATACCTCACAGGTAACTTAGAAAGGAGTTTTAAGAAATAAATCAGAAATGCTTTTCAAATTATATATATATATAATTAATGTTTTTTTTACTTATTTTCTAGGTTTTGGGTTAATAAAACTTGATTTGAAAACAAGATCTGAAAATGGACTGGTGAGTCTGGAAACACATTGAAATGCAAAACATTGCAGTGTTCTTGTGGGTGCTGTACATTTCTTTTTGAAAGTCAATATATGTCCCTTACTCTCCCCTTAGCATTGTTCAGATATACTATAAATTTGCAAGTTATTCTGAATTTATAACTTTTGCATAGTATGTGAGAAAAATCAGAGTGCAAGATACAGTGAAGGGCTCCTCTGCAACCCTGCTAATTGCTTACTGTAAAAATCGTGCTGCTGGGAGGCAGTGGCAGTGCTGGGAGGCAGTGGCAGTGCCTCCCTGCTGCCTGGCTGGAAGGAGCAGACCTGAGCTGGTTTCTGTGCTGCACACCCTGTTCCTTAGCAGTCACTGAACACGTGCAGGTCCGTGGAACTTCATTTGAGTTAATAATTAGAAAATATGAAGCATTTGTGGACTCGTGTGCTGATTCAGACTCACCTTGTACAGCCCAGCACCTCACTCTGTGCTGCTGGGAAGGGTTATCCATGTTCCTGTCCCATATCCATTCCTCTGACATGCAGGGCTTTTTCTCCCTGACACTGAGGTGTTTGGGGTTGGTTTTTTTTTTGTTTGTTTGTTTTGTTGTTGTTTTTTTTTTGTTTGTTTGTTTTGTTGTTGTTTTTTTTTTGTTTGTTTGTTTTGTTGTTGTTTTTTTTTTGTTTGTTTGTTTTGTTGTTGTTTTTTTTTTGTTTGTTTGTTTTGTTGTTGTTTTTTTTTTGTTTGTTTGTTTTGTTGTTGTTTTTTTTTTGTTTGTTTGTTTTGTTGTTGTTTTTTTTTTGTTTGTTTGTTTTGTTGTTGTTTTTTTTTTGTGGGACAAGTGTGTTGATATTTATGACCAGCCAGTGTTCTTAAATCTTCTGAAAAATCTGCAGCATTGAATAGTATCCCTAATTATAATGATTAATTTGTTCTACAAATATCAGTATTTGCCTGCATGCAAATATGTATTTGCATATATGTTTTTTAATGTATATATATATATTGTTTTTTTTTTTTCTTTTAGGAATTTACAAGCTCAGGTTCAGCAAACACAGAAACAAGCAAAGTCAATGGCAGTTTGGAAACAAAATACAAGTGGGTGGAATACGGGTTGATGTTCACAGAGAAGTGGAACACAGACAACACGTTAGGCACCGAGATCACTCTTGAAGATCAGGTAATTTGGGGCTTAATAGATGCACTTGATAAATTAACTTATAACAGTCTCTTAATTATGAATCCAACCAGTGCATTTCTTTTCTGTTCAGATTGCACATGGCCTGAAGTTGACCTTTGACTCCTCCTTCTCTCCTAACACTGGGTAAGAAGTGAGTAAGCTTAAGTGACAAAAAAGGCTTTTTTTTAGTTTTCCAGGATACTCTCTTGCTTCTTTACTCCTTCTGTGCTAAGATATTGAGGCAGTTGATTATCAGCCTGTGTATAATGAAATAATTTACATCTGATTTAAATCTTAGTATTAGCAATCCCCTTTTAGTCCCAAGATAGAGCAGGCAAACTTTTAAATATAGTGACTTGAACATTATAGTAAGAATTATTGTGGGAAGAAAAGGATTTTGTTTGCACTCCTGTTGCTGGTATCTGGCCATGGCAGAGGATGAGCTGCTTTCTGGATAACAGCACTGAACAAGGCAGCTGTGCTGCAGAGCTGAACAAGCTGCAGGAGGCAGTTGGGCACAGCTCTGATAGGTCATCACAGTAACTGGGCTCTTCTCCCGAGCTGAATTTATCATCTCAATTCTTGATGGCCTTGGTGGTGGGTATTTCTGACACAGCCATTGGATGCTGTGTTTTATGTGGGCCAGAGGGATTAAGCAGCAGCTGTAGGTCTAGATGTTGGTTTATTTTTTTCCCCTGATTATCTTTTTGCAAGCAGTGCTGCCAGAGAGTCAAACTGTTCTGCCCACCAGCTTCCCAGAGCCCCAAGCTGCACTGTGGGCTGCTGGGTTGTGTCCTACTGCAAACTGCTGCCAGGCCACTCCCAGCTTTACATTAACTAGATATTTTTGTATTTATTAACCAGAGTAATCTCTAGTCTTTATTGATAACTATTTCTTAACTGGTAGAATTCTTAAAGAAATACACATGGATGAGAGTGACTCTATAGGTGTTTCTTAGGTACTTCACAGGTGCTGCAGTTTCTGAGTTGTAACAACTGCCTGGTGGGAGAACTGTTGTTCTAACTGGAATAAACGGAGTGAAATTCAGTCCTGGTGTGACCTGGTTTAGCTTGACCAGGATGCATCGTGTCTGCATATGAGTCATCTTCTCCCCCTTCCTTACTACTCACTGGCTGTGATGAGCCTTTCAGCAGGGAAAGTAATTTCTAGGAGTGCTCAGTGTTAGCTTGGCTCTGGCCCTGCTGACATTGCTGGGCCACTCACTGTCGCCCACGTTGCACACGAGCTAATGCTGAATTCCCTTGGGACTCCTGCTCCTTATTTTGGGCTTTGCAAAACACAAGAAATTCCCAAGTCCAAAATAATAATAAAAAAGCCATCTCAGCCTGGGTTTGACACAGCATTGACACAGTTCTGGGAGACTGTTTTTGCTGGCTGAAGTTGAGGGTTGATTTGAAACTTCAGAATAGCCTGACTTTTCTAGAAATATGTCAGTAAAACATTTGAGGAGAGAAGGCACTTGTGAGGTAAAAAGAGAAAAATCTGAAATAAGAGTAGCTGAATATATTAGATGTATTTTCTTGCCTTGGGAGGATCTGCACCTAATGTAAGCCAGCCTAGGGACACAGGAGAGAGCTCTGGGCAATGGTGTAGAAGGAAGCAAGTGACTCAGGAAATATTTCTGCATTAACCTGGCAGCCTCTCATGGCTGAAACCATTAAACTGCATCAAGCATCCTAAGGAGAAGGTGGTGTCAGAGGCACTGAAACAGCCTCCTTCCTTAGCAGCAGAGACTGTCCCTCAGGACACTGGGGGCAAAGAAGTGATTCCTTGATGTCTGTCCCAGGAAATGAACTGTCCCAGTTCACAAAGATTGTCTAAAAATGCTTTGTTTGCGACAGTTACTGACTTCCCGTGGCGAACCTGTGAACTGCTACTGCTTCCATTCCTTCCCTGCGTCTACCAAACTTCCCAAACCATCAGATTAGTTGGAGATGTGGCCTTGGTTTTGTCTGGCTTGTGCTGCTGCTTTTCAGATCACAGCCCAGAAGTGCTTAGTGATGCACCGCTCTGCATTTTAGTGCTTGATGGCAAATAAGTCCCTGTGGCTGGACTAGGGTTTTGCAGGTGTGAAAGGTAAGAAGGTGACATATCGTGTGGCTCTCCAGGCGTGCAAACTTTGTCTTCAAGCACTGTTCCACTGAAGTTAAAATAACTTGATTTGACTAAATTGCTACCTATGAGAGCACCTGTTCAAGGAGAAAAGACTTTGGTTTTGTTTTCAGGAAGAAGAGTGCTAAAGTGAAGACAGGGTACAAAACGGATCACATCAACATCGGCTGTGACATGGATTTTGATATTGCGGGCCCTTCAATCCGAGGGGCCGTGGTGCTGGGCTACGAGGGCTGGCTGGCAGGTTACCAAACCACTTTTGAGACAGCCAAGTCTAGGGTGACCCAAAGCAACTTTGCTGTTGGCTATCAGACTGATGAGTTCCAGCTTCATACTAACGTGTGAGTATCAGCAGGTGGGCATTAAAAAGGAGTTAGGAGGGATTTTGCTGCTTACTAGAATAATGGAAGGGAGTTCCAGTGGTGGCAGAAGAGGAAATGGTGATTTGAGATTATTATTATTATTATTTTTTAAATTTAAGATGACAAGCTGAATTTTTTTAGCTCCATTAGCTTTTCTTTGCATTCTGTGGGTTACGGAGTGCATGATGGAAAGAGATGGAACTCACTGAGCACCCAGAGACACACCAGCTTTCTACCAGATAAAGATTATTAGAATCTATTAGCAGAATAATAAAACAAGTGGGTTACAAGCATATTCTTTGTGAGAGCTGGAATGAAAGTGATGCCTTCCTTTTGCCCATGTCAAAAGCAAACAAAATGGGGGTCTGACTGTAGAGGAAAGAGTTAATCAGAAGATGAACAAGAACAGACAAAAGGGATTGAATAGAAGAGATATGGGTTTGTTTTAGTACTTGAAAGGATATAGTAAAAGTTTGGTTTAGCTTAACTCCAAATAACCTAGTTACACAAGCATTTGTTCCTTCTGAATGCATGAAGAGTGAGAAACCAGGACCAAATTCCACGGAAACCTTGATTTTTCAGTCTTCTGGTCCTCATAAGAAAGCAATTTATTCCTTTGGGGAAGACAGCTTTTTAAGATGAGGCAATCCCTAATCCAGCCCCCCTGCACCCACCCTTTCCCATTCTCTAGGGTAATTGGATATTTAGCATGTGGCAGAGTTGTTGCAGGCTGTTCCCATTTGGGGACTGAACAACTGTTCTGCCTGGAGCTGCTCCTTCAAAGGCTTCTGTTTGGTTTTGTGCTGTTTTGCAGAGATCTGGTTTAGGAAGCTCCCACTGCCTTGCAGAACAATTGAACCTTCACAGCCCAGGCAGTGTGTTAGAAGGCCTGCCAAAGCCTGAAAATGTGGGCAGAAAACTTCCATCAGGGCAGTTTGCAGGGTTCCGCTCCACTCAGGAGTCAGGAGTTACTCCTTCAAGCCCAGTGACCTTAAGCTCTGGTATACTGTAGCAGTTCAAAACATTTTACAGTCCTAATTAAAGCAACAGCAGAAACCAACTTAGTAACAGCAGCAGGGGCTCGGATCTTTCTGTCCCATTTCTTGGATGTCCTGAAGGTCTGTTTCTTAGGTTGCTGTTACTGTATGGAAATAATAAATCATCTCCAGGAGGATGCCAGTTTTCCTTATTCAGTTCAGACTCTGCCACTTGACAGGCAGGAACATAAATATGTGAGACTACTGGAAATCTTGATTTATTGATATGAATAGTGAGGTATTTGATGGATCCACTTTGAAAGTGTCAGAATTTTTGTCTAATCCCAGAAACAGTTGTTTGTGGAACTCCCTTCATGCTGGTCATATCTAGATGGTTCAGTGTTTCCCAGGGATGTTGTGGCAGAGCTGATAATTTCACTAGGTGGGGCTTGAAGTATTGTTTTTTGTTCCTGGCCATTTCACAGACCTGCTGGGGACTTCACCAAGTGACTTTCCTTAATGGTGCCTTAATAGGTTCATTTTCATAGGAGAATTCCTTTTTTCCTGTTTTTTTTTTTCTTTTTTTTTTTTTAATCTGCATCTGAGAAGTGCTGGTTTTGCTGTTAGAATTAAAAGGTTTGACTTTTTTTTATTTTTTTTTTTAATAGTAACTACTAGAGGGAGGTATGGCTGGACAATTTCTAGTTTTAAATCTGACTTTCCTCATTTTTAAGCACAGCAGCTCAGACCGCCCCCCCCCCAATGTTGCAGGTCAAGACAGAGCTGTGTGGGAACCTTGCACAAAATCTGCCCGTATAACCAGCTCTCCTCAGTCCTTTTTAATCCCTCCTTTTCTTGAGAGCCAAGCACATGCAGTTATATGTGAGCTTCAGTCTTATCTGAAGTAAGTATTGCAGTGTTTTTCTGGAAGAATTGCTCTAACAGTTTAAAAAGCTGCTGCTATTGCCTGGAATAGACATCATCACTACTCTTTGGGCAACTGTCAGGAACCTAAGGAACATTAATTAGGCCAAAGAGGTCAAAGTGGAGAGATTCTCAATGTGCTCCTTTCTTTAATCACTACAGGTTTGGTGTATTCTAATAACTGGAACCAGAAAATGTCATAGTTTAGACATGATCATAAATATCTTACTTGCAGAGGTCTCCCTGTTGTTTAAAGCCCACTTTGTGTGTTTGTATCCTCTTTCAGGAAAATAAGCCAGAATGGAAGTTCAGCAGCTCACTGGGTTACAAGGGTGGCAAGGCCTTTAGAAGTCTTAAGCTCTGTGTTCTTTCGATCTGCATGGTCTGGGGTTTTGCAGTTTATTTATCACTGTGTTTATTCCCTGTGTGTCACTGGGGCCAGTGGTCGCTGTGCAGTTGCAGTGGTGGAAGGCTGGGGTCCTTCAGCTAGACTCCCATCTAGAGTGAGGGGAGAATTGGAAGCTGCCATCATTTCACCCATTTTTTTGATAGTTGGTCATGGCTTTTTTTTTTGTTTGTTTTATTTTCTTTCCAGTTTCATAGGTTGCTGGTTGAAACCTAGTAACCATCAGGGAATTTAAGCATTTCAAAATGGCTCCATAACCCATTGGGCCTAATGTCTTGATCTGAGTTGTTCCAGGGATGTTAAGTGAGGTGTGAGAGAACATTCTGCAAATAGAGATTATACTGGGGTTTGGGGGAAAAAAAAGATGGATTGTTTTGGGGTGCAATTTAAAATCAGACTCATGCATTCCTTCCAGGAATGATGGAACAGAATTTGGAGGCTCCATTTACCAGAAGGTGAATGATAAACTGGAAACTGCCGTGAATCTTGCTTGGACAGCGGGGAATAGCAACACTCGCTTTGGAATAGCAGCCAAGTATCAGATTGACCCAGATGCCTCTTTTTCTGTGAGTGGACACTGCTCAGCATTTGAAAACACGCTCGTGTGGAGCAACCTCTGCAGCAGGAGAGATGGTTTTGATGCAGTTCTGTGAATAGTGGGAAGACAGATCAATTTGTCTGGTTTTTGGCAGCGTGAGAGCAAATTATTGGGTTTTCATTGAAAGGGACACAATGTTTGACCACTGTTGGGAGATTTTAGTTTTGAGGCAAAATTAACTCTGGATTTATTTATTTGTTTATAATCTAAAAGATTAAATCCTTTCCTGCCTAAAAGGTGTTAAATAATTTTCAAGTGGGAAGGACTTTGAAGAAAGACACTGAATTATTTACATTAAGGCTTGGTTTTTTTTTCCCTTTAAGGCTAAAGTGAACAACTCCAGTCTGATTGGATTAGGGTACACTCAGACTTTAAAGCCAGGTGAGTCTATGGAGAAGAAATTCAGACATCAATAAGTGGTGGTTTATTGTGCAAAGATCAGAGAAGTGGGGTTTTTTTGTTGTTTTTTTGTTTGGTTTTTTTTTTTTAGTTTTTTTGGTTGTTTGGTTTGGTTTTATTGGGGTTTTTTTGTTGTGTTTTCTTTTGCTTTCTTGTTTTTTTTTTTCCTTTTTTTGTTTTGGGTTTTTTTGGTAGTTGTTTTTCTTGTTATGGTTTGGTTTTTTAGGTTTCTTTTCTTGTCTCTTTTTTTGGTCTCTTTTTTGTTTTTTTTTCTCTTTTTTTTTTTTTTTTTTTTTTACCAAAAGTGAATGGTTTTGCAACATTGCTGTTCTACTTGGCAACCCAATGATGAAGTTTTCCAGACACTGCTCTGGTAATTTTGGATGGTTATTGAAAGGACCAGTCAGATACTCTATGATGTCGATACAAAATCAATCTACAACCAGGTGCTTCACACATGAAAAAATTGCATTTTTCCTACTTTTGGAGGCCTCCTGTTAACTGAGTTTATTTTGCTGAAAGTGTGACTTTCTCAAGGTCCCCTGGTCCAGGAGGAGAACAATCTGACTGCTGCAAAATTGGTTTTAATATAGCTTAATAAATCTGCTGTCAGGATACCAAGAGATTGACATGAGATATTACAGGACAGGACTTAGGCCTTTTCATACCTGGATTTTAAAGTGGTTTAGAAAGGTGGGTATGTGGCAGGGTTCCCATTTTTCATTAGACTTGACTTTCAAATTAAATCCATCAGTAGACCAGCAGCAGTGATCTGACTCAGAGATCTAATTACTTGGAGTGATTAAAAGCAGAATCTTTCACTGTGGTTTATGATCACTTTCATAATTCAGGAAGATCTCATGTCTGCAAATTTTTTTTATTTAAAAATGCCCCATCCTTACAAGGCTGGTCACCAAATGATGTTACCCCACCTGCCCATAAAGCAAAGCACCAACACAGACACTGCATTTCCTGAACTTAAAGCTCATTCCAGGATTTAACAGTTGTCTTTTCTCTGTTTCCCAGGTATCAAACTGACATTGTCAGCTTTGCTGGATGGCAAGAATGTCAACGCAGGTGGTCACAAGCTTGGTCTAGGACTGGAATTTGAAGCATAAGTGATTCTACAATCACTAAATTGAAAATACAGCATAGCTACCTGCAGAATCTAGTGTACCTTTCGATGTTGTATGTCTGGGATGCGAGTATTGCTAAGTGTCAGTCCTGCTAGTCCTGGTTAAAGACAGCTAAGCTTTAAAAATGATGATGTTACAGAAATGGAGACAAAAGCATTAAGAAAAAAAAATCCTAATTCCAGGCTTTTTTTGGAATGTTATTTATCATCACATCCATCAGCTGCCACATGATAGGAGGTAGGAAGGTAGTGATTACCTTTATTGCCTGCACAAGGAATATGTTAATGTGGTATAAAACCTGTTGACTTTGAGATTTGCAGACCACTAGATAGCACTACTGATTCCATGAGCAAAATATTGTGACACTTTTAAGGTTTCAGTTCACGATGGAATGTGCAAACTTGTCTGAAAAAGGGATTTAAAAAAAAATTATAAATATATATATATTATTTTTTTTAGATAGGCATCTCATGAATGGTTTGTCTTACTTGGTTATTGTGCACCTGCAGCTGTCTCCAGAATGCTTTAGATGGTCCACCTTGTGTAAGTCTGTTGAGGAGGAGGTTTGTTGTGACTCAGCCAACACTCCCTGTCCTGTGTTGTGGTTCCTTTCCCTTGTGCTGACCGGGAAGCTTGGAAGACGGGGCCAAAATCAGGGAAGAGTCTTCTTTGTAACTGCGATCACAAAGTTGTGTCACTAAATCAAAAATGGACTTTCGTTTTATTACCACTTTTTTTTAGCGACTAAATGGGTACGTTTTTAGAGAGTCTTCCATTTTGTGTGGAACTAGACCCCAAAATGCTGTACTTGAACACTACTAAAAATGAATAAAAAAAAACCCAATCCCAACTTGAATAAAATACTGAAATGTCCCCTTTTACTTTGTCCTTAAATAATCTTGAAAACAAGGTCATATTAATTCTTGACTCCAGGGGCAGACTGGCACCACCATAATGCGTATTTTGTACCACACAAACAAAAAATACTTAGTGGATTTAAGTTCCACTCATGGCCATGTTCCTAGTGCTCACTAAACTCTGGCCACTACACACGTGTGTGTTTAACTTGCGGAGACAAGATAATGTGACTTGCCTTTCTTTCATTGCAGAATTCACTACATTGAATTGCCTTTCTGTAGACAAAGAGGTGCAAGCAACAGTTATTGGTCAGGGTAAACTTCAGTGGCTTTTCATTAAGATTTGGTATTTTTTCATGTGTAAGGAAGTGGTGTGGGTGGTTTGCAGAGGGCAGGAGGCTGTGGAGGAGGAGGATGTGCCTGTGTTAGGACATTGAGGTGGGAAGATCCATCTCAATGACAACCTGCTACGTTGGCTGGCTTCCCTCTTGTCATAGGCTATTCCTGAGTATTTTCTAGTATGTCACCTCAAATATTTAACTCGGCACTCCTGGGGGAAGTAGTCTTCTTCCAGATTTCAGCAATCCAAACAAACCATGTGCAACCAGTTTACCGGAACTTGGCAGATGCTCAAAATTAGTTGATCTACACTGGCAAGAACCTGTGTTCGGTGTCTCTGTATACGTTCGGGCTCCTTGATTTTCTCATCTTGAGGCATCTGCGCTTTGGGGTTTGTTCCCCCATGATCAGCTTCAGGGTTTCCCTCAAGACTTGGAATGCCTCATTTGGGGTGAGAATGGGAAAGCATTTTTCCATAAATGTATCACATTCTGCAATAAGTATTCTTGAGCAGTACAGCACAAAGCCCAGTCAGATGCTGGTTGTGAACAGCTTCCTGGGGCTGTGGCTTTGTGTGAGGGCACAGCCTCTAATGGCATGAAGGAAGAGGGAAAATCCAGTCTGAAGGAAGAAGGAAAACCCCTATTTTCTGTCAGGGGAAATCCTCTGAAGGAAGAAGGAAAACTCCTGTTTTTGTCAGGGAAAACCCTGTGTCTGAAGGAAGAAGAAAAACTATTTTTCTGTCAGGGAAAATTCTCTGAAGGAGGAAGGAAACCCCCTATTTTCTGTCAGGGTTTGTTTTGTTTTGAGCTTGCTGGGCCCTGCCTGCTGTCTATGGCCCTGGCAGCCCCAGCTCGCCTGCCCTGTGAGGCATGAGGAAAGCTGTAGCAGGGGAGGTTTAGACTGGGTATTAGGAAACATTTATTGACTGAAAGGGTTTTCAGGCTCTGGCACAGGCTGCCCAGGGAAGAGGTAGAGCCAAAGGTAGGTACTTCAAGCCGTGTATCTACACGGTCTTGCGGAGGGACGCAGTTTTGTGGTGGCCCTGGCAGAGCTGGGCTAACTGTTTTTTTTTAAAGAGTTGATCTTTCAGGCCTTTTCCAACCCTAACGCTTGGGTGATGCCACTCAGCGATCCTCTCAGCGGTTCCCCTGAAAAGAGATTCCCCTCGAGGGATCCCCATAGCGATTCCCCTCAAGAGATTCCCCTCAGTGATTTCTCTCAGCGTTCCCCCTCAGCCATTCCCCTCAGCGCTCTCCGTGTCCCCTCTCATGGCTCCCTCCCCTCAGCGCTCTCCGTGTCCCCTCTCATGGCTCCCTCCCCTCAGCGCTCTCCGTGTCCCCTCTCATGGCTCCCTCCCCTCAGCGCTCTCCGTGTCCCCTCTCATGGCTCCCTCCCCTCAGCGCTCTCCGTGTCCCCTCTCATGGCTCCCTCCCCTCAGCGCTCTCCGTGTCCCCTCTCATGGCTCCCTCCCCTCAGCGCTCTCCGTGTCCCCTCTCATGGCTCCCTCCCCTCAGCGCTCTCCGTGTCCCCTCTCATGGCTCCCTCCCCTCAGCGCTCTCCGTGTCCCCTCTCATGGCTCCCTCCCCTCAGCGCTCTCCGTGTCCCCCCTCATGGCTCCCTCCCCTCAGCGCTCTCCGTGTCCCCCCTCAGGGCTCCCTCCCCTCAGCGCTCTCCGTGTCTCCTCTCATGGCTCCCTCCCCTCCGCGCTCTCCCTATCCCCCCTCAAAAGGGGGCTGCGCGGCAGCCCCGTCAGTCCTTTCGTCGGACTCATCCGGGCCTAAAGGTCTCTTGAGGCCGCCGGGATTTTGCTCTAATTATTCTAGTTGGGTGCCTGTTTGACGCTACTCCCGCCCCTGGAGAATAAACCGATGTTATTTTGCAACTTTAACCTCTAATTTAAGCCCGTTTTCATCCCCCCCCTCCCTTCAACCCTGAGCTGTAGCCCAGTGCTAATAACAAGCACGTATTTCAAGTGCAGAGAGTTTCTCTTGCTTTTAAGTGGAGTATTGGTTGGGCAAGTGAAGGGAAGGGGACTGATTGCAGGAAATTTAGGGAGCTCTTTGAAGCTGGAGGCTCCTTCTTTGCTTGTCGGCCGGGACCTCCGAGCTGTGTTCGCGCTGCCCCGCTGGGTGGGCGGTGGTGAGGGAGGGTCAGTGTGTGGGGCAGAAACCTGCAGGAAAACAGGGCTTCTAACTTCGCACATAACGGAACAATTTGCTTTTTAAAACAAGTAAGATTTCCTGTAAGTGAATGTTGACCTTGTTAGCTGTTTTTATGTTCAGTCCTAAGAGGGCTGCGTGGCTAGTTCTGTGGCTGTGGTTGAACATTTGATACCTGTTTCTGAAGCTGAGGCACCCCTGGAGACCAGAGTGTTGTGTAATTGTAAACACTGCAGCCACCCTTCATAATGCCACATAGTTTTGGGTAGATACCATAAATCAATTGTGGTGTAGTTGCTAAAGTGCTGCTCCCATTAAAACAACAAATAACTTCTTTTGGGAAAAAACAAGAAATTGTTCTTTCTTGCTCTTAAGCTGCAGCATTTGCTGGGAACCCCTTGCATTTAAGCAGATATCCTTTTAAAGCTTTCAGGTTAAAATGATGTAAGAATATTTTTGGGGTGTGAAGATACATACATTGTAGCACTTTAGGAATAACAGTGTGTTTGTATTTTAAAATATCTGTCACCCTCAGTATTTGTTGTCTGTAGCAGTAGTGTCTGCCTACCTCTCCTAACATGCCAATTAACTATAAATATGAAATATTTTGCAGCTGCCTTTCCTCCTATTTGTATCTATGTGTGCAGTTAGCTGGCTGGACTCCTGAGGGGAGTAAGTTCTTATACACTAAACTTGTACAAGAACTGAACAAATTGGTGTCGATATGTTAATTAAAAGTAGCAATTTCTTAATCAAAAATTGTGTTAAATATAAAGTAGTTGGCTTGAAACTAGCAGAGTGACCATAATGCCTAGTTCATGGGGGATTGGTTGAGTCTTCTCTGTTTTACAGTTGGTTAAAGAGTAATTCATGCTGGAAATGTGTGCCATGTAAAGAAGGAGAAGTCTGTTGGAACTGGTCCTCTGTAAATACACCTTTAATGAATAACATGATTCAGTGACCTTGGTATATTTTAGTTATGAGTAATTTGGCACAGGCAGTTGGTTGAATGCTTCGTTTCTGGAATCTGTAGCTCTTCCAGAGAACCAGGGAGATCCTTGGGAACACTTAATGAAACTGTTGTTACTTTTAAAAATAAAAAAAATTGCGAAATAGTTTGGAATGCCAAAATACAAGGCAAGTATGGTTCCACTTTGAAATTATGATGTGTACTGCAAGTCTGAAATGAGTTCCTAATTTTTAAGGTGCTTCCTGATTTGAATCTGGAAGTGACACAAACATAAATAGTTTGCTCTTGGCTATTTTTTTTTAGGTTTAAAAACCCATTAGCTCTTTATAAACTCCCTCTATTCCTTCTTTTACTTCCCTTTGGCAAGATAAATGTGTGATGGGTGCCCTGCATGAGGTTTTAATGCTCGCCTTGTTTTTTATGTAGTCACAGTGTCCTTTCTTCAGCTTTCTATTTTAGCCTGTAGCTCAATAATTTGATTTCAGTTAACACAAGGTTGGAAATCTTTTTCTGTTTCAACAAATTCAATGAAAATAGGTGCCTGGGAAGAGATGTTAGAATCTCCTATCCTGGCTGAAGGAGACATTGTAGCTTGTTCTGGTTTTCTGCTGACAAAATAAGCAATGGTGAAAGATTTAAAAACTTTTAACTGCAGTAAGAGGTTTACTGAGAACTTCCTCTGTAAACCTCAGCAAATTATGATGTAGAAAATAGCAACCACACATGATTCTACAAGAGGAGGGGACATGGCTCTGAAATTCTAAGTCTGGAAAATACACATGCTAAATTTTTCAAGAAGCCTTTGGCATGCTAATCTAGTCAGCATGTACTTCCAATCCTTAATTCCTGTCCTACTCAAGACTTCTCCTTTGAAGTTGCTGATGTACAGGAGTATGCATTTCTACATATGAATTCTAAAAAGTTTGCAGTGTGAAATATGGCCTGTTCCAAATGATTTTTTTGTCCATAAAGTGAATGTTTTGCAGTAATTTTCATTTATAGCTGAAGTATCACAAGAGAAGTTAGTGCCTTGTGCTTAATATTGACTTGTTTTTCATCCTTTCCTCAGGCTTTGAGATTCTTCAGAGAAGTAATTCCTCTACAAGTGAGAATGAAACACTAAACAGATCAGAAAATTTGACAGACAGCTTGCAGGGTGTCACCCACATTGAAGATGAGGCAAGTCCAAGGGAAGAGCCATTGCCAACAACACCTAGAATCAAATTGATGACCACAGAGAAAGGTGATTCTCCACCAGGAGTTCCCTCTCATGCAGTGACTGCTAGTCCCGTTTCTCAAATGGATATTGATGCTTCTGAAGATACAAAAATTGAGGAAGAGGATCTTCTAACAGATTTGAAGGACACACTGAATAGTTCACCATCCATCATAAAAGAAACTATGGAGTCAGATGGAGGGGATGACTATGGTGGTTATGAAATGACATCAAATTCCAGATACAATCCCGACCTTCTAGGCATGTCAGAAGATGATGGCTCTGACACCATTAGTAATTACAATGAGGAGATCAAGACCCTTGATGAGAAGATAAAAGATGTTTCTGTCACAGGGTTGGAAGAAGAAGAAGACAGCCATTTCTTTTTTCATCTGGTGGTAGTTGCCTTCTTAGTAGCTGTTGTTTATGTCACCTACCACAACAAGAGGAAGGTAGGTATGGGAAAGGTGGAGAGCAACAGCTTTAGTATGTTAGATGAAGTTGTGTTGCTTGTACACTTTTTAATAAGACAAATGTATCTTTTTGGTGAAGGAAATCTTTGACCAGTCTTGTTGTGATATTGATGTGCAGATCATTACTGTCGTTTTTATCTGCATCATGAACATGACCTCAAATCAAACATTTTAGATTAGAAAACAAATTTATTGATAACATCAGGAATCCATCAGTTCAGTAATGGACACTGGCAGTTTACAGCATGAGGTCTATAAATGGTACCTGAGCCAAGTCATGGAATCATAGAATAGTTAACATTGGAAGGGACCTTAAAGACCATCAGGTTCCAAGCTCCTTGCTGTGAGCAGGGACATCTCCCACAAGACCAGGCTGCACAAGCCTCATCCAACCTGGCCTTGAACATCTCCTGGGAGAGGTCTTCCCTGACCTTCCTGGGAAACCCGTCCCACTGCCTTCCTACCCTCATGGTGAAGAATTTCTTCCTGATGTCTAACTTAAATGTCCCCTCTCTCAGTTTAAAGCCATTCCCCCTTGTCCTATCACTGCCCTCTCTGGTGAAAAGCCCCTCCCCAGCTTTTCTGGAGTCCCTTCAGGCACTGGAGGGTGCTCTAGGTTCTCCCTGGAGCCTTCTCTTCTCCAGGCTGAACAGCCCCAACTCTCTTAGCCTGTCTCCACAGCAGAGTGATTGATTAACTGATTTTGTTTCTGCACAGGATTATAAATGGCAGATTACGTTTGCATTTGTACAGATGCACACACAAATTTGCAGTTGAATCATAGGTTAGGTTTTAGATATGTGGTAAATTGAGTGTTTATCCTTGTAGAGAACACTGATTTGGTTGAGGATTTGGGGGACTCTGGAAAGAACATAGCTAAAAAAACCCCCAAAACTACCTTACAGTGCAATAGCATATCTGGAATGTGTGTTGCTAAGTCTATAGGGCAAAATGTTGAAGACTTTGTGTAAAATTTGAGAATTTAACTTTGAGCGAAGTTCAGGTAAGTGATAAAAAATGCCTTGTCTTTGCTGTGTGAGATAATGTGAGTAGTGTCATTTGGCTAGTTGAAAATCTGTTGCTGTTCCTTTTTAGCACTTAGGAATAATTTTGGGAACAGAAAATATACTGGTATATTAAGGACATAGATAGTGGCATGTATTTGTGGGGGACAACAGTCAGATTGGTTTAGATTCTCCTCTTTCTTCCCTTGTGCCCACTTTCATTGTACCATTTCCCCTTTTACCAATAGAGTTGTCCTGTCTAATAAAGTGGATTCTTAGATGAGGTTGGTGAGAAACAAGGCTAAATAGGGTGAAGATAATAGTCATTGAAAAATATGATCATTCAAGTGCTTTAATTTATCATATTGCCTCTTTAACTGCTCTGCTGATGCTGCAGGGGCACCGAGCTGTAATGCAGGAACAGTTTATCAGATTACACCATTCTGCTTCTGTTGCCTTTGTTTCAGTACCAGCAATACAATTATTTTTAACAAGGGTGAAATGCCAGAATAGCTAAGATGAATAAACCAACAAACGTCACCCTCTGGGGGTACTTTAATAGCCTGTATATGCAGTACTTCTGAAACCACACAAAAAATGAAGGAGTCATGGGTTGAATGTAGTGGTTTTGCCCAACAGCAACTGAGATGGCCAGTAAGTGGCTTGATGGCAAGGACAGGATGGGAATGGCTGAGCCCTCGTGCTACGTTCTGTAGCCACAGTAAGGTGTAGAATAAGGTGACAGTAAGGTGACAGAGTTGTCTATCACAGCCCAGATGTTTCTCCACAGCATAATCTAAGTTGGCTGCTTTTTCTTTCAGATCTTCTTATTGGTCCAGAGCCGAAGATGGAGGGATGGCCTGTGCTCTAGGACAGTGGAATATCATCGTTTAGATCAAAATGTGAATGAAGCAATGCCTTCCCTGAAAATAACCAACGACTATGTGTTTTGAGAGCACTGTGATCTGAGTTTGCTGAACTTAGCACTCTTTGCCTGCCTAGTCATGTGATGATATTCAGGTATTCTACAGATGCTGCTTGTGCCGAAATGAGATGTTCTCTCTTTGAGCTGGATGTTTCTGAGATTCAGTCTCATGCAAGATCAAGGGCATGATACATCTGTTTGCTACTTTGGTCAGGTTTTATATCAACTATAAAGATACAGAGTATAATAATTAGTGCTCTTTCCATTCATTAAGCATCATCTCTCCTGTCTGAAGCAGTCTTAATAGCAGTAATACAAAAAATAAGCATAAAATATTTTAGGTGTAATAAAATCATGACTTTGGCATCACTAAATCAAATTAACAATTTCTTTGCTAATCACTTATATGGCTCATAAATCTCACTATATTGCAACCTGAAAATAGAAATACATTTTTCTGTGCTTAAATCCTGATGCTGCATATCTTTCAGCTTTTTTTTTTTTTCCCTTTCTGTTTCCTTGTTCCCTAACTCAGTCCTGTTCTAGGCAGAATAGCTAGCATGGCAAGTTCAGAATTTCAGGATGTGTTCATGCCATAAATAATTTAAAAGTAATTGGGTGGAAACTTTTTTATATCAGAAGCTGCCTACCATATATTTATTTTAAATGTTCAAGACCTTTGTGAAGGTGTGCACCTTCTTGGCTGTTCAGTTCTTTTCTCTGATGGTGTTAATGACTATTTCATTATCTTTGTAATTAATGAATGGAAAAGAAACCTTGCTGAATAATCTTAGTAAAATACAGATAGTTGACAGAATTTCAATGCTTTGAAGCTTTCTGTTTTTAAAACGGTTGGGAAACAGTTATGTGGGTTGCTCTGTTATAGATAGGAGAGGCCTGAGAACACAAGAATAATTTATTCTGTTGTTATTGTGACCCAGGTAACAGGCAGATGGGAAAAATGGTGTGTAGGGCTGCCAGTCTGTGGGCAGCTCCCTCTGATTTTTGACAAACATTTATGCATTAGTGTAAATCAAGTTACTGGTACAGTAGGTTTTTTTTGTTGTTGGTTTTTTTACTTTTTGTACTTCCATTATTTATGTTTTCATGAGTTGTAAAATATAAAAATCTTAGTTTTCTGTACGTTCTCTTTGTGATTTTGTTTTCAAACTGATAAATATGTAAATAATGGTGGATCAGAACCCCATAACTAACAACTTGGCATTCAAGTACTTATGTAATATTTTGAAAAAATGAACTTTCCAACTGTTGGCATGCAGAGTCCAAAGGCATGAATAGTATCTTACAAATGAAGTGCTGAAAGTTCTAAATCTTACTGTTAAATGCATTCTTTTCATAACCCCAAGAAGTAAAGCACAAACTCTACCCAAACTCTTTTCTTGCAGTAATTTTTATCGTATTTGGACTTGTATCACTTAATATTTTGAATAAGGTTTTTAAAATAAATTACAATTATAAGCTTGTGTCTTTTGTCTTGACTGTCTCCCTGCTTTTATACAGTACAAGATGATAAAGATCTTGCTTGTGCTTCGGATGGGACAACCAGTTCAAAACCATCTTTTCTGTTCTTGTTTAAATTCACTCTGGATAGGGGGTGCCTGGAGAGTTGTTTTATGCATCTGTGAAATGGTATGTAAGGTAGATAGCAAGACTTTAATGAAACTTTATAAGCTATAGGAATTAATTAGTTATTTGACAGGCAATTTAGTAATTCTCCTGGAAGATGCTTGAAACTCTTACCTGAACGTGGCCACATTCATGCAGAATGTTGCTGTGGTCAAGATCCAGAGCGAGAGCTCCTTCAGGATGTTTAAATGTTGGAATTGGAGAGAAGGAGGCTTATGTTTTTGCACCCAAGAAGTTCAGTAGCTTTCACCTTAAATAAGATTCATAAAGTGTACTGAAATCTTGGAGTTAGGTAACTGCTGTTTGGGGTCATAAAATCACTGCTCACATGTGTCTTCTGTAGCTGAGTGCAGCTTTGCCTCACACCAAGCACTTCACCCCAAGCACTTCAGATGAGCAGTTTTTCTTTTCTTGCTGTTGTGTATGTCCTCTTTATCTCACAAGTAAGAAAAAAGTCTTAAATATTTATACAATTTTTTTTTTATTAAAGCTCTTTACTTGTGGTACTAGAGACAGCTTATTTGAATGTTTTTAAGTTCACAGGGAATTAACATGAAACTGAAATCCTTGAAGTTCTTAAGCAGTGGGTTTCATTGGGGGAATTACCTAAATGCATTCTCTTGTAGGATGCTGGTGTATTTTAATATTTGAGGCAAATTTTGCCCTGGAAGGTTGACAGTGATGGTAGCAAGCTGCTCCAAGAGATGGGTTTGGTCATATCAATGCAGAAATTTTGTGGATGTATCTAAGCAAATGGATTTAGATACTGGTATTTGTGGAATGTCCCTGTTAAAGCCTGTGAGCTGCTGATCTGCTCCAGCACTCAGAGACTGCAGCACCAACTGACGCAGGGTGTTCGTGTCCCTGAGAGGTGGATGCTGAACAATCAGCTGGTTCCCAAAGGCATCTTGCCACCCAGTCCCTGCAACGTGGCACATCCTTCTCACCTTCACCTGGAGCAAGATATGAGATGGTGAACCAAGCACCTTTGCCCTGGCAGGCTGTGCTGAACTGCTCCTGCAGAGCCTGTGTGTCACCCTGTCACTGTGGTGATGTACAGGAGGGACCACACCCTTCTACAGATGGAAGATGTGAAAGGCACACGGTGATTTCAGCATCAGTTTTTTTCCAAGGAAGTGTTTTAATCCACAACAGCCCTTGGATTGCTCCTGGCCAGAGGCAGTGCCTTCCTGAACTGACCTGGGTGGCTGATCTGCTGTTTCCTGGGAGTACCAATAAAGAGGGAAAGGTTTCTTGTGTTCCAGTTTTATAAGGGCTTCAGCAGCAGCAGGAGAGTGGGGCATGTGTCATCCATTGTGCAATAAAAGAGCCATTTGCTGATGAAGTAGTCAGGATTGAGCTACTTCCTTTTTTTTTTTTTTTAAATTAATTGAATTTCCTTGTGGAAAATTAAAAGCAGGCAATCAAAAATTCATGAAGTGCTGAAATCAAATAGAAGAAAAAGCAAGCAGATTTATGTCAGATCTTACCAACAAGAAATGTCTTGATGAATTTCTTTAGTGAAGAAAGGAAACTTTCTCACATTAAGGTGAATTATGACTTCCATCATTACTCTGATAAAAGGAATAAAAGATTCCTGAAGAGCTTTCTGATTAAACTTCTCAAGATGAAAGTTGAAGCTCTATTTATGTAGGTTGTCATTAGCGGGTGGGCTTTATAAAATGAGGAAAGAAAGAATGAATAGGAGAGGAGAGTTTAAACAAATGATACATTCCTCTTTTACTATCCAGGAAATCAGGTATTTTAAAGCATTTATAGTTTAATTTTCATTTAGCACCAGTGCATATTATTCAGCTAAGTCAGCTGTCCTTGGCTGCTGCTCAGCTGTATACAGGGGGAAAAGAGGTTTATCTGAGCAGGGTGGTTTGAGTTATGGGAAATTAATTTGTAGCTTAAAGATGAAGAATGTCATAGCTCTTAAATAAATTCAAAAGCTACAAAAATAATAGGGAAAAGGGATCGTTCTACAGTTCTAACACAGAACACTGTTAGCATTAGAAGGAGAATGTTTTTACAGCTCTAGCTCAGGCTTGGGAAATGTTTGCTTTCCTTCTAAATAGGGAGGAGCACAGCTAGAGACCAAGGTGGACAAAACATTGATCAGGAGGTTTTCAAGTCCTGGTCACTTCAGAACACCTGTGATGAGCAACACGGGGTGAGATTTCATTGGCTTTTGTTTTCTGTGAAAAGTTGGAATGCTGAGCAAAGAGTCAGCTGGTGCTTGTTTGGACCTTAATTTTCTGCCTAAATTTGGAGGCAGTGATTGGTGCCCTGGGCTGGGGGGAGGAGGGTGAAGTGACCTAGCAGCTGTCCTTGCTTTGTAAAGGGAAGGAGTGGGAGAAGGGTCCCCTGTCGGAGCTACCAGCAGGCAGATAAAGGTTACAGGTGGTGGGATGGTCCTGCAGGTATCTCTGGCAGTGAGGTTGGGTTCCTGAGGACACCTGGCACTCTGAGGGGAGGCTCTTGCCTCACCATGCCACTCTCCCACGCTCCAGAAGGTGAGTTCCTAACCTAGCAAAGCATTTCCTTGTTCCTTTTTACTCTTCTGAGTTGATTTTCAGTCATTTTTCTGTACTGAGTTGGCTGACCATGCAGCCACACCAGCACCAGAGCTGGCTCAAGGCAAGTGAAGGGAATTTTCAGGACAGAGATAGGGATGTTCTCCCTTTGGTATCAGCAGGCTGGTAATTTGGTTTCTTTTAAAGCTGTAAAACAAGCCCAAATGAGAGCCTTTTGCCAGGTGAGTGACTAGTCACTGCAGCCTCACTGTAGTGTTGGTGTTTTTTTTCCTGAGGGACCAGGCTGGCCTAAGGATCTGGGGTTTCTTTTGGTTCAGATTGTGTTTTGTGGTTGCATTTTGTGCTCCTACAAGGCTGAGCAGCTTTATGGGAGTGCTAAATCCTCCTGTAAGGCTGATGGAGCAGTAATCTTCCAAGGCCATATATCCCAGCCAGCACAAAGCAGCAGAACTAGTAACATCATTCTTAGACCTTTTCCAATCAAGTGTCCTTTAAGAAGTCTCTACACTGCTTTTTGTTAGGCTTTCCTGATACAGAGCATATGAAAGTCCTCACTATAATAAAAACTGGTTAATAACAGAACTGCTCAGCTTCAGTGTTTCCAATATACCTAATTAGAAAGGGAAGAATGACATCTTTTCTGTAATTGGTCCTTAAATCATTATCAAAATCATTTAGCAGTGTCCTTAAACTTATTTTTAATTACAAGGTCTATTGCCTTGTTAAGTTATTAATGCTGAAAATCACTAATCTTGGTAATTTCCTATCTTTACTAAAGTGAAAATATGAAGGTTTTGTTATCTTTATTGAGGTGCTCTCCTTGAGGTTCTATTAAAGCTTAAGTGAAAACAGATTGAATCACTGTAGTATTCTGTAAACCATGTTGAAGTGGCTGTGATTAAGCAATTTAAGGAAGCTGGTGGGGTTAAGAGCTGCACTTCAGGTTCACAGATGTATCAAGGATGCAGAAATATTTCAGATTACATGAAGGAGGGGACTCTTGCATTAGTTAAGTGCAAAGCTGATGCTCATTATCAGCTGCCTCTGCAAGGTAGTGGAATTACGTTGCATTTTTTTGT